TCATAAACAAGTAATTTTTTTTTTTAGTTGTCTTATAGCTGTTACGTAGTTAGAATACGGAAAAGGAGTCCAAAATGGTGGTGGCTGAAAGACAAGGAAGGGAAAAGCCCGCGAAAATAGAACAGAGGAAGGTCAAAGGAAGGTCCGAAGACCGGAGTGAGGACTTCAGGTAGAACAGCGCTCCTGCCTAAGCCCAATTTGCATGGGGCAGGCCCAGGGGGAAGAAAAAACATATAAAAAGAGGAGCCAAAGGGCTCTCCCCCCACCCCACCCCCACTCGATGGGATGCTCTTCTCTTCGCATCTTTGGATCCACGTGCCCTCACGCCTCGAAGATGGATTTTCCTGCTATCTTCTAAATAAAATAGAGCTGTAACACTGATTTCTGTAAGAGCTATAACACTGTCTGTCCAAGACCCGAGAGCTGTGACCCCCCGAGGGGATTTTAATGTGCGTCACTCCAAATCTTTGTTGTGACGAGACAAAGATCCGAGGAGCATACACTCGCCTGACATAGCTTTTTTCTTTTTTTCAAATACAGTATGGGAAATAGCAGTTTCTAGAGACTTTGGAATTTGTACCCACTGTCAGGGGAGGAGCGCTTGGAGCAACCAGGGCAGGGTTAGTAGGAAAATTCTGAAATATCTTATGTTGCTCTAGTTGGGCCTTTTGTAAGCCTTCATGGTCTAAAATTCATATTCATGTAATAAGTGTTCTTCCTGTTGCTGAATATCAGGAGGGCTAGAATAACCTTGTAATGGCAGAACCATGGCTTCAATGAGAGCCCATAGGGGCCAGAAATCTATCAGAATATTTTTACCCTGTCTGACGGCTCGTTCAACATTCTCTTTGACCCGATGCCAAATTTCTAAATCAAAACTACCTTCATCAGGGAACCAAGGGTTACATTCAACCACTGTCTGAAGGCAAGCCTCTATATTCACTGGTGTGAAACTGAAAATCCCTGAACTTTAAATAAGTGGTAAAGTAAAGTAGAAAAGCGAGGGGGCTTTCCAGCCAATTGACCCATGTCTTAGTACTTACCGGCCTCAATAGGCCCTCTGGGGTCACTCTGTCTGAATCTTGCCACGTGTACCAGAGTCCCTGTTTCTGGGCGACACTTGTTGGTCCTTTATTGGACCGGAACCTGGTGGTCCGGAGTCGACGATGAGAAAGCAAAAGAAAGAAAGAGGCTAATATTCCCTGGGTTACGCAGCTGGCTTTCACACGCCAGGGAATCAGCCAGAAATATATAGAGATAGAGAGAGAAAGAAAGACACGGGAACCAAAGCTCTGATGGAGCAAAGGTGTTTTAATCAACATGGTGTGGGCATATATACTGTCTTACAAGGTAGTTATTCTCAGCAAAGGTAAAGATTAAAATTCCAGACTTACAAAACATAAGGCAATCCCTATTAAAGAGAGAAAGTTGTGAACAATCCCTTTTTACCGTATGGTTCATAAGAAGGAAGAGGGTACTTATCACCATATTGAAAAACTAATGAAGGAAATGCCTGGATTCCTCAGCCCAGGGAAAGGCGTGCCTCTCCTCTTAATTCCTGAATATTCAGGAATTAATAAGGACCAGAAGATTCCTGACAGATCCAAAACAGCACAGAGGAAGCCTCCTGTTAAATGCTTCCTGACACCATGCAAGCCAGCAACTTCTAGGAACACATAAAGTATGATAGAAGACTTGCTGGATACACAGTACAGATTAACTTGACATTTAAAAGCTCTACAAGGAGCCAATCTTCTGGAGCCCCCCACCCCCCAGATTCATTAATTTTTCCTACAGGAGCCCAAGCAGGTTCTCACTGTGAAGACTGGGAACAATGGCCTCCCACTCCATGCCAGAAATGGTGTTGGGGGGTACATTCTGATATACACACAAAGCATTCCCTTCTCCGCAATTTAGGCCATTCCTCAAGGAAAACTAATTTGCCTGAACCTTATCTAATTGGGGAAAAAGCGGTGAGACAACACACTGACCCTTCAGGTTTTTGATTAGACCAAAGGTGAGGAATAAAAGCCAAGAACCTCATCTGACTTACATAGTCCAGTGAGTCTGTCCCCGCCCCCCAAATAAAACAGGTTTTTTAAAAAGATTTACTTATTTTTGGCCACTCCGGGTCTTCATTGCTGTGCATATGCTTGTGCTTTCTCTTGCTGCAGCGAGCAGGGGCCACTCTAGGGTTGCAGTGTGTGGGTTTCTCACTGCAGTAGTTTCTCTTAGGCTTAGTTGCCCATAGCATGTGGGTCTTCCCAGACTTTTAGGGAAAGCACAGTGACTGAAACCACCCAATCTGGCCAGGTACTATAGTAACCATTTACTTGAGTTATGTTATGACAGAAGGTCATGGGAAAGAATATGGAACTAGTAATCAGCCACCACCAATCCGAAGAGTTCGGGAAAGGTCAAAATGAGACACCACATGTCCTTCCACCTCTCAGAATTATTCTTGCTGGCAACTATCCTGGCTAAGCAAAGGAAGGACCCTGAGTCAGAGTGATTGGCCAAAGACAACCTGGAAACTAATTCCATCACCATAAAACCTGAGACTGTGAGCCAGTGGCAGAGCAGTCCTCCTGGGTTCCCTTATCCTGCTGCTTTCCACCCGGGTGCCCCTCCTAATAAAGTCTCTTGCTTTGTCAGCATGAATGTCTCCACGGACAATTCATTTCCAAGTGTTAGACAAGAGCCCACTCTCGGGCCCTGGAAGGGGTTCTCCTTCCTGCAATAGGACCACAAATTAAAACCATGTCCCCTACATTGGCAGGTGGATTTTTTACCACTGAGCCACCAGGGAAGCCCCCATGAAGAGGAAAAGTTAAAATTTTACATAACCTCCTGCTTGTTCTGCCTCTGTAACTCAGCTTGCTCCTTGCAAAGTCTGGATCGCATAGGTCACGTAGTCTCAGAAAGTGGGGACTTAGAATACTAGGAACTGGAGCTTATCTCACCCTTGTCCTGCTCTTTGCAATTGCCCAGCCCCAGCAAACCTGCTTAATTATGCATCCCCCTCCCCATCTTGACTGCTGTTCCCACTCGCACGAAACCTCTTAGTTTAAACCAGCCTATTAGCAGCTAGTGTTGCCCTCTATAGTCTGTCTATAAGCACTCTGTAACCCCTTTGTTCAGGGCTCAGAGCTTACAGTGTTAACTCTGCTGGGCCCATTGGCGTAATAAACCTGAGTTCTCCAACTCTCCAAGTGTGGTGCTTGGTTTCTCGGGTACTGGTTTCTGCAACACCCAGACATTTCTGATCTAAGCTAAATGAGGATGAAAATCCCTCTTCCCCTCGAGAAAGTGGAGCTGGGATGAAAATCAGGGAAGATGACCCCCAAACTCCTCCTTCCCCAGTAAATAGTCCATCCCTTCATTTATTTGCCTCTAATAACAAGCTTCAAAAGAAACCCAGAACAGCAGCTCCTCACATGCCTACTTGCTCTCCCTCTTGCTTAAATAAAATTTCACTTTACTTAAAGCTCTCTGCTTTGGTGATCAAGAAAATACCTTAAATTCACCCTTAAGTCCTTGACCCCTAGAGGATATAATGTTACAGAGCCCAAGCTCACTCTGCTTGCCACATGACAGGCCAATGAATCTGAGAGACAAGGTGTTCAGGCAAGGAATATGACTTAATTGGGAAAGCTGGCTGACCAAGAAGATGGCAGACTAATGTCTGAAAGTATCTTGTCCGGGGTCTGGATGCCAGGTTCTTTTTATAGAGTCAGAGAGAAGCAATGAGGAATTAAAGTCAAAAGGCAGAACAGGAGGGAGATGTAATGAGGAAGTAAAGTAAAAAGGGTCTTCAGTCTTCAGTAAAACATCTCCAGGAAGGGCCAGCCTTTGGAAGGGATGTGTTAAACTCTTCTTTTTGTTGTAATTATTCACAGATGGGGAGGGTCAGATTATGTCTCTAAGACATAAGAACTAAGACCCTTTTTTAATAGGTAGAGGTGCAGGGTCCTCTGAGGCAGACTATTCCGTATGGTTTTAATAATAAAAGCAACAAAAAACACGGCAAAGAAACAGTTCCAACACGGAGTCAGAACTGGCTTCTCCCTGCAACAGTAAGACCCTTTTGTTACAGTGTGGCCCTGTCTTGGGGTGTTGGACTGCACCCTGCAGGTTTGCAAGCTCAATATTTGCCAAGACCAAAGAAAGAGTCTGGATTCAGCGACAGAGGCATCAATGCTTTAATGGATAGGGAATCTTACACATCTGAAGCAAAAGGGTCAGATGTCAGGCGGGAAACGTTATACAGAAAATTGGGTGGGAATAACCAGCTACAGAGAAAAATTGACCTCAAATTGGCTCATCAGTTGTCAAGGAAACCAGCAGAGGCATACACCCTTCAACACCCCTTTGACGAAGTATAGTGGAGATATTCTGATGGAAAGAGAACAATCAGTAGCCTGGGGCAACTCAGTGCCTGGGTTCTAAGATATAGAGGGAGGAGCAGTCATATGAGTAGGTGTACTGGTAGAGCCGGGGTTGCACAGAGCAAGAGAACAGCCATGTCACCCTCATGCTCTGTTTTTGGAAACTCAGTGAGAAATTCCCTGCCCTCACGTGTGCACAAAAAGCTGGGTGAATACGAGATTGGCTGCCCCAGGCTTGCAAAAAACTTGTTTCTAATTAACCGCGTCGGGCTGGGTCAGTTTTCTGCTCCACCCACTGCCCTCAGCGCGGGTCTGGGCGCCTGTTGGGAGAGGTCCGCGGAAGCTAGCTCCCTAGAGACACAAGTCCTCCGGTACAGCTGTCACTCAAGTACTAGGAGGTGGGGCTTTGAGAGCTGTCCAATCAGGGGCGCCGCTTGGGCAGGTAGGTGGGGCGACGCACCGCTTTGGCTCCGTTTTCACTCCCGCAGACTCGGCTAGTGATCCGCTTTCTCACCTCTCAGAGACGCTGGCTGCACTGCCTCAGAGTCTGTCTTGTTGTGACCTGCTGTGAGAGTCGTAGGAAGGACTCAGGGAGACCCAGGAAACCTAGAAATGGTGAGTGTGCGTTACCCGGGTGCAGAGTTGGAGCGAGAGGGGAGGCGGCGTTGGTTGGAGTGAATCCGAACCAGCTGCGGTGGTGTCGGGCCTCCCCGCTGTCAACCCCGGAGCCTGCGGACCCGAGGGGCGTGGCTCGGACCTCAGTCTCCTCCGTCGGGTCGCGTGGTGGGCGGGGCGGGCAGCCAGGACCCCGGGAGTCCTGTCCAGTCACTGCGCGCCCCGACTTCGGCCCCGACCCTGCAGCCCCGCGTCCGCCTCAGAATGTGTTGTGACCCCCGGGGAGGATTGTCAGGGGACCCTCGTGACTCGGTCTCCGTGGTTCGTGCGTGGGAGGAGCTCTGGTGTGTGGAGTCCCCATTCCCTGACTTTTTCCCAGGGGGCTCCCGTTTTCTCTTCAGTTTTCCAGTTATTTGAGTACCAAAAGTCTCAAGTCTACGCCCCTGTCCGCTCAAGCTTAGCTCTTCCTAGGGCTGGCAGTGAGTTCCCTAAATTTTCGGAGTTCACCCTACATCCCCAAGGCCCTCTCAAGATTCACAGCATCATTATCAACGCTTTGTCCTCCGTGGTGCGTTTCAAACAGACGCAGTTTTTTAACTGTTTATCATTTTCCTCCCAGAGCCTTGGATGGCTCTTTTTTCCTTTTTTTTTTTTTTTTTTTTTTTTGTCTGTGGCTATTTTCCACTAGAAGGAAGCAAAAAATAACCACTTGAAACTACTTTGTTCAACAGTTTGGTGCCTCTCCTCCCAGACTCTCTTCTGGGCACAGACGTCTAATTCGTGGAGGTTCCTTTTAAAACTTTCCTGGGTCATGTGTCCTGTCAGGGTTGGCCCTACTTTAAAGATTTAAAGATTGTCACCTTTCAATCAGAGTAAAATGCATTTAATCAATACAGCTTAAAAGATAGTATAAAACATTTCCCAAGAGGCAAAAGAGGTGAATTTTAGGGGAAAAAAAATTCCAGGATCACATTTCATTTAAAAAGTTTTGTTCTGCTGTTTTTTTCTCCCCCTGGAGCATGTGTAGTAAGTTTCTCAGGACTATTCTTTACTTTTAGGTAATTTCAGATGAAATTCTCTGGTTGTGTGGTGTCTGCTTAGACGTCCAGACCAAGTGTTCAGGTGTGATTAATTATTTACAGACCGATTTCTCACTGTAGAAATAATCACTGATTGACATTTTTTTTTTCTCGTGAAAGGAGTAAATATTTCAGGTTTTCTGGTTGAACTAGTGAAAATGCTCTACAGTTTTCTTTCCTCCTTTCCACATAAATGATAGGTTTAAATTGTGTTGCTGGATTGTTCAAACACTAAGTTTGCGTCCATTAAAACATCAAGAGTGTTCTAAAGATACTCCAGTGCAGATCAGAGGCCTATAGTCAGTGATCCATGCCAAGGTTCCTGTAAAGAGAACGATCTGCAGACCCAGTTATTCTTGTTGGGGAGCAGCCCCCACCCCCCGCCCCGGCAGGTGTCTTACTTGTTCGCACCCACAATGGAAGGAGACTTTATACTGAGGGATGCTCCAGAGCCCTGGAAAGCTGAGGATGTACCTGCACACAGTGGTGGGGACTGATTTCATTTCTGAGGTTGGAGGCCTAAAACTTTCCTGTTCGAGTTCAATCCCTGAATTGGGAAGAGCCCCTGGAGAAGGAAATGGCAACCCACTCCAGTATTCTTGCCTGGAGAACCCCATAGACAGAGGAGCCTTTCTGTCTACAGTCCATGGGGTCACAAAAGAGTTGGACACTGGACGCAAAACTCGGAACTTCAGTTTTGCGTTCACAGTGTAGGTACACTTAGTGTAATGTATGCACATTGAAAGAGGCAGTTATGATCTTGTCTTCTGTGTTGTGGACAAAGGGTTTATGAATTTGGGTCAGAATCTTAAACTGAATCAGACACAGAGTTTCCTCACTTGTGAGACTAGAACCTAGTAGAGTCTGTGCTTCCGTGTTTTAGGGACACAGGAGAGCGTGTAGAGTACAGAAGTCATTTTTATGTCTCCTCAACTGTCCCTACCCTCCTTCTCCAGTGACTAATCTACTCTAGGAACTGTATCTTGGACCCCAAGTCTGGGAATTTGGTCATCTTTCTGAAAGTGGGTTTTTCTTCTGAACTGTAGCAAGAAGGCTACTTATCTGTTTTTATTCCAGTATTTTCTTTGTTTTTTTTTAATTACTTTCGTGACAATTTTTAATCTAAAAGTGTTGCGTACCAAATTAAAACACTGTTTTTTTGACTCTATATGCGAGACAGCAAAAGAGACACAGATATAAAGAACAGTCTTTTGGACTCTGTGGGAGAAGGCAAGGGTGGGATGATTTGAGAGGGTAGCATTGAAACGTGTATATTATCATATGTGAAGCGGATCGCTGGTCCAGGTTCAATGCATGAGACAGGGTGCTCAGGGCTGGTGCACTGGGATGACCCTGGGAGATCGGATGGGAAGGGAGGTGGGAGGGGGGTTTTGGATGGGGAACACATGTGCACCTGTGGCTGATTCATGGCAAAAGTCACTACAATATTGTAAAGTAATTAGCCTCCAATTAAAATAGATTAATTAATTTTTAAAAAAATTAAAGCACTGTTTTTAATGGTGATTTATAGCAGAATAAATTATTTTATAAAATTAATATGTCCTTTTTTAAATTAATTTTTTTTGGCCACACCACTTGGCGTGGGGGATCTTAGTTCCTGGACTAGGGATCAAACCCATACCCCCTGCATTGGAAGTGTGGAGTCTTAACCACTGGACTGCCAGGGAAGTTCCTAATATGTTTTTTAAACTATTTAATTTCTCCTGATGGATACATGTATATGTATGGCTGAGTCCCTTCACTGTTCACCTGAAACTATCACAAATTGTTAATCAGCTTATACCCCAATATAAAAAGTTTAAAAAGAACTTTACCATTTCTCCTTTTAAAATGAGTTTCCTCCTGCAAGTTCTGGTCCTCCTTTGTTCTGGGATTGATTCAAAGCCGGGTAGAGTTCCAGTGCATGAAAAACTCTACAATTCTACCATAAGGAAGTTTAATAAGGCAATACAATTTCCAGGCACTTTTTCAAAAATTGTTAAATTTTCACATAAATACTGGAATCTCAAAATCAGTCATTTGAAATATATGTTTCTTTCTTAGCTAAACGTTGCAGTCCTTTGATTCTAGTTTCCATTAGCTTTGGGGCTTTTAATGTGTAAGTTAATTGAGAGATACGCAGTAAGTAAAGCAAGAAAATTCTGGAACCAACTAGAATTTTGTTCCATTAAGGCAAAGAGAGCCTCAGTATGAGATGGGTGTGTTTAAGTGCTCAAATGTTTTTTCCATTAAAGAAAATTTTTTATTATACAATTTTTAAAGGTTATACTCCATTTACAGTTACTACAAAATACTGGCTATATTCCCCATGATGTACAATATATCCCTGTACCCTGTCTTACAACCAAATTATTTTGTGACTCCCACTTCCCTACATTGCCCTTGCATTGCCCCCATCAACCCCATAACCACTAGTTTATTTTCTGTATCTGTGAGTCTGCTTCTTTTTTGTAATATTCACTAGTTTGTTGTGTTTCTTAGATTCCACATGTAAGTGATGTCATAAAGTATTTGTCTTTCTCTGTCTGACTTATTTCACTTAGCATAATGCCCTCCTGTCCCTAGACATTTAGAAGGCCATGCTATTCCTAAAGCAAATGAATTCTTGTTTTAATGAACGTGAGGAAAAAGCCATTGAATTTATATTTTTGTTGATATGAAGAAGACACTTTAAATCTTATATATACATCTTTTAAGTCTATTTCTGGGTTTAATTCCAAACCCCTAATGTTTTATATTATGCCACTCGTTCCTGAAAATATCCCCAGTATGAAATATAGTGGAGGGACAAACTATAATGTTCTTGTCCTTTTAGTTAGAAGGGGATTTGTAAATCTTTTATGGTATGCAGTTTTATATCTTTTAGCATTTAAAGGGTTAAATCTTGGAGTGGTTTCCTATGTAGAAAAGTTAAGATTAATTTTAAAAAGCAAAAATTAATTTAAAATAATGTTAAGCATAGGAAAATAAGATGTATATCAGTTTCTCTCCTGATTTTAAATAATGCATGTGAAGGTTAAAAATATTTCTAAAATGGGAAACTAGCTTAGGACTCTCAGCCCGCATGTCCTCCTCCACCCCTGTACTCTTACTCCACCCATGCACAAATATCCAGTTCTGATTGCTTCTTGATCATCCTGTTGATGTTTCTTTATATGGAAACAAGCCAGTGCAGATGCATGTTTTTCTTACCTGGCTTTGGTTCTTGTAATGAGTAGTCAGGTTCCACATACTTGATGTTTGACTAGTACTGAAAGATAAGCCTCACTGCTCCCATTTCCCCTAGTCCTTCTTACCTGGACAGGCTGATAAGAAAGCCTGGGGGCTCCTGCTCTGTGGGCTGCCGGTGGCTTGTGCCCTGGGTGGCATCATTGACCCCACCAAACCTGGGTTCTATATACAGAGGGCACCAGCTGACAGTGTGTCCTGTGGGAGCAGAATGAGGATGGGACCCTCCTGGTGATCCTTAGTCCAGGGCTTGGATGGAACCTGTCTGTGTTTTAGTGCAGGTGTGACTGAGGCTGGGTTCACCCAGGCCTTGGAGGGGAGGGATCTTTGGGGGTTACTTGGCTGATTATACCCTGTGAGTGAGGTGAACCCCTCAGATGATCTCTCTGCAAAGATTATTTCAGAGAGAAAGAGAAGCGAGAGTAAAGGCAGCCAGTAGGTGGCAGGCTGAGTCCATTCCTAATACCAGAGGGCTCACCAGGACCCTTCAGTACCTCTGCTGTTGCTGCACCTGCTAGAAGCACCTGCAACAAAGATGCTGACCCTCTGAGTTAGGTGAGCAACACCTATAGCCCCACTGTGGCACAGAAAAGGGGTTAATTTAAACCAATTTAAGCCTGGGGTGCTTAATTTCTATAACGTAACCAGTTGTCATGAAGGAGGCCTCTGACC